GCCTTCGGTCGGCGCTCGCTGGGGCCCTAACTAAGGCATCTTCTGGATTTTTTTTCTTTTCTTATGTATAAGGTGGTAACCTGATATAAATATATAAATCAAAAATCTGTAGAGGTCTAAACATATTGCTGAATTCAAAACAATGCTCACACCTCCCTTCGGTCGACGCTCGCTGGAGACCTGCCTAAGGCATCTTCTGGACTTTTTCTGTTTTCATGTGTAAGGTTCGGAATCTAAAATGACTCAGGTGATAAAATTGAAAATATTTAAGGATTTCTTGGCGGTGTTGACTCCGGTTTAAACTCCGAAAAATTCTTCTCCATAAGCTCCGACTCCGACTCCGAAAACTTCAATTCGACGGTCCCCGACTCCGACACCGACTTCGAAAATTTTGCGATCGTCACCTCCGACACCGCCTCCAACTCCGTCGGAGTCGGTGTCACCGTCGGAGTTCGGTGTCACCGCAGGGCCCTAGCCACAACTGAACTGCAGAATTTTCCTATTTCCTACCCTACACTGTAAAGTAGAAAATAATTTATAGAAATATAATATATGATTCTCTAGGAATGTCTATATGACTTTGTTTAGGATTTTCTAAGTTCCGGAAAACCTGAATTTCTAGAAGCGTGCATTTTCTATAAAATATCGATATTGATTTGATTGAAAATCGTCCATTTTCTGAAAAATTGATTTCACTCTCTATAAATTCGAAAACTAGAAATTCATCGACGAAAGTATATAGGCATTCTTAGAAAATCGAAAACTGGAATTAATTTCCATAAACTAGAAAGCGTCAGAAACATTTTTATTGGCTCAGCCCTCTCCAGTCGTCTGCTTCTGAAACACAGCAAAACGTGTTGCTAAATGACACCATTAGGCCAGAAAGGGTTAACAACTATACCTAAGGTTTATTGAACTACCAGGCTGTCTATGACAGAAATATTTCAGAGGGTGACGTGATACGCATATGAAGTACGAAAAAGCTACCCTTTCATATAGCAACCAAATATAAATAGGGCATACAATACATTGTTCCTTTAATGAAAAGTATTCTTTTAAGATAGTTTATTTTCTTTACAGTAATATAGTCAAATGAAATAAATAGATGTGTTACAGAAAAGTACACTGCGTCTTAAACAACAAAGTCAATAATATACAAAAATATTTCGATGGTGACTATTGAATATCAGAAGGAAATCACGTTCAACAATAATAGTTTCAAATAATGTACAAGTAAAACTGATATATATTTAGAGTCTCTTAACCCTTCAGTCTTCACCTTCCGTCAATTCTTGAATTAAACGTCTAGCTGCTAAACACAACGTGAAGTTTCTTTTGGAAAATATTAGTCCATTAATAGTATGCAATGTTGCGATTTGATGCTTTCTATTAGTTTCCCAGAAAACTGATTTGATTTCCTGAATAATCACAAGAGATCTTTAATGGGCATAATGGACATAATGGGCATAATGGACATAATCGGCATATTGGACATAATGGGCATAATTCTCGTATTCAACATACTCGGGATAATGGGTATAATGAAATTCTCAACTACCAATAGAATTCTGGATTTGCAAAATTCTCACATTCTGAAGTAGGAATAGAATTCTCTAATTGTCAGAGAGGCTGTTATGCAAGATACTCATGTACTTTTCAATACTCCGATCTAACGTCACAGTGTTTGCCATAGAAATGGGAGTATATTCGAGCGAGAAACTAGTGCTAAGTTACAAGTCAAGGAATAAGCACAAAGTAGTGAAACTATCATTTATTTTTCGCATCAATATACGAAGATTTCAACAACTTGTTTAGCTTTTTTCATTTCAGTGCACCTTCGCAAAATCTCACACCATAAAGAGCATGTCATGCAACTACTTTTCGAATTCACTGTCACATTCCCCCAGCCTCCCCGCCGCGCTGTATACGATTAATCCTGAACATGTGTCTGATATATAGATTTTGTGTGTGTGTCTGAACTAGTTTGGTTTCCTGGAAACCCATTTGATTTCCGGAAACGCATCCGATTTCCTGGAAAGCCATATAGTGCATGATATGGCTTTCTCATAATCACCTTGATGGTCATACACCAATCCGATGTTATTGTATATTGTTCCAAAAGATGGATGATTTGGTGAGTGAAATGAAATAGACTTCAAGACATTTTTCAAAACATTTCAATACTTTCTCATCATCACCTTCATTGCAATAAACCATTCCAATGTTATTATATGTTCTTGCAACATCAGGGCGATTTGGTGGAAGTGAAATCAATTGAATTTCAAGACATTTTTCATAAGATTTCAATGCCTTCTCATAATCACCTTCATTGCAATAAACCATTCCGGCGTTATTATTTGTTCTTGCAACATCAGGGCGATTTGGTGGAAGTGAAATCAGTTTAATTTCAAGATATTTTTCATAAGATTTCAATACTTTCTCATAACCACCTTGATGGTCATAAACTAATTCGATGTTATTATATGTTGTTGCTAAGATGGGTGATTTCATGCAAGTGAAATCAACTGAATTTCAAGAGATTTTTGCCCGATCCACAAAAGCCGCCATATATGAAGTGATGCAGTGAAGTCTTCTCCACAAGCCAGCGAAAACCGCAGGTCTCTATCAGTTTTTGTTCTTGAATCTTGAGGAAAACAACCGATGCTATTTTATTTCGAAATGGATAGTCACTATCCCACTTTCTACTGTTCCATTGTGAAATAAGCAAAAGTATCTTATTATCATTCGATAGAAATTGATAAAGAAACAGCAACCCCAGAAAAATACATTAGAAAGTTATTGATAAAATAAAACACAAAAATTTGGTTAAAATTAAGATAGTATAGTTTGGCAAAATATATGCTCAAAAGAACATGTTTTGACTTTTTAACTATATTGTATGCTTTAGTGTGCCGAGTCACTATGGGCCAAAAAATGTGTGTTTTGGGCACACTGGCCGCAGCCATTCTACACGGTCACTCGATACAAAAAGCGATCACTTTAAGTGTGACCAGGGCACATCTCTTTTAGAGTGCAGCTATCACATTTGATTGACTTACACAGAAATTTACCTAAACTAGCACTTACCAATATATTAGACAGATCCCGAACTTCACAAGGAAAACAGCTAATTCATCGCTTTTGTCTGGTACAATAGAAGAGTGGAATAATCTTCACAGAGAGAGAGAGATGATCTCGATATTTTTGATGAGTGCTTTCAAACTACATGAACATCTGTGTTCAGCTCGCTCATAGTATCTCTATTTTCATTCTTTCCGTGCATTTTTCCTTTCCTTTGAACAAAAGCTTTCTTTTCTGTTTTTTGTGGTGTCACAGGTATCCTAGTTACTAACTTGTTTCATTACTTTCTTAATTTCTCTAATCGTGACTAGATAAACATCAGCTATTAGATCATTCATACTTTTGACACCTCGTCAGCTTACCTACTGTTGCACAGTAAAACTGTGCGATAAGTTGAGCTCAGAAATATGTGACCAGCTTCGAAATGCTGTCTCATCAAAAGTTTGCTATTCAAATCGTGCTGTTTTTGCCACTAACATGTTACTTGGCCATAAAATTTATTTTCTTCTTTCTTCGAATTTGCTTGACATAAGTGTTTATTTGCTTAATATAATTGCGGGACAGCACATGATGCAGTCAACAGAAACTAGACATGAAAATGATTCGAAGAATGTGACGAAAAACATGCAGAGTAAAAGCAGACACAGCCATGGAAGCATGCGATGTAAAAAGTCTAGATGCAGTTTGTTTGAGAAATGTTCTTCCACCGAAGGTTGATCATGATCTACTTTTAATCTTCTTGTTATATAGAATTGTTATAAGCTTTATGCTATTGAAAGAAATGAGAATCCAACTATGGTGCCTGCTACATCAATATGTAAAAATGTTTTGCAACAGATTGTGTGGTCGAGAACGAAGTTTCACAAATACGTCAGAAATTGACAAGTTCCCGTTTCCCACAATGTACCCAAGAAGCGGAAAACGTTATCGAAGTTTTGATTTTGCAGTTGGGTAGAGAAGAGGAATCATTTCTAGTCAAAACAAAAGGAACCCGATCGAAAAATCTTTTGTTTTGATGAAGTTATGGGACTTTTAGTAAAAGCACCACTATACATAGAATTTAAAAAATTAATGAAAAATTGCCTGACAACAGATAGAAAAATCATTATTTGCCCATGGACTTTGATGTCAAAAAATTTGAAGTGTAGATAAGAGATAGTGCGAAGTGAAGGCTAGAAAATGACTAATTGAATTTTTCTCACTTTCAAAGTAACTCACAGTGAAAAATAAAATTTTCCGAGCTAACAGTATTTTCGTACAACTATGTTCAGTATAATCACGAATCCCAATGGATCCCATCTTCTAACTGGTTCAACTTTAATCGAACTTTTGTGAAACTGCTTTCTATAGGAGAGAGATTTTGAAGTTCTATACTCGAAATGTGCGGTTTTCGGTGTTTTTTTAAACTCCCTCCCCTAGTAAGCCTAGTATTCACCTTATAGTATATTCATCCCATATAAGAATAGCCAAGACATATCTGTCCGTCTGTCTGTCTGTCCGGAACGCTCCCAATACACTAAACAGCGCCAATGTATTAGGTAAAACCCAAAACACAAACGACTTAAAAACTTGACCAGAGGGTAACCGGGGGTAGAGAATCCGAATTCGAGGTCAGATTTCAATTAGATAATTATCCTAATTAGACTAATTAGCCAATTTTCGACTTTACAGAAACTGGCAACATAGAAAATTTTTACAAAATATACGAATTCTATGCGTCCGTGGTTTTCCACGGGTTATTTCTTGTCCTATAATATTTATTAAGATGAATACTAAATCTCTAAGAAGATTAAGATGAATATTAGAAGCATTTATCTTATAATAGTTAATAAACATATCAATGTTTATTTTATCGTACATTATGACTGAACGAAAATGTTATTAGCAACTGAATAGTCAACATTACAAAACAAATCAGAGTTGAATCATTAAGCTGAAAAATAAAGGTTAATTTACTTTTTATGCGGTGCATGGGGGTGCTGAGCACCCCCACCGCCTTTTTCCAATGTTGTTGTAAAAATTATTATAAGAGTATGGGTTTCCGGAAAAACTCAAAGTTCCCTAATAGACTGGCTGTAAGAGCCAAGCATACATATCTTGACTGGCGTACCTTCAGTAACACACAAAAACTGCAGCTACACATCTGTCATAAGTCTACTTCTATCCTAGAGTGGTTTGTTCTACAGTATTTTCCGCAACCATCTTGGCTTTTGTGTCTGAAAAATCACCGATCCTTAGAAAAATTAAAATAAAACAAATTGAGTCTTTGCTTCTTTAACAATGCTGTGTAATCTCTTCTTCCAACTTCTTATCTTCTTCTCATTTATTTATTTCTCTGTTTATTTATCTCTTTATTGGTTTTTTTTATATATATATTTTTGTGTAAGAATATCTGTGATAAGAGAGAATTAACACGTAAAACGAGTGATTTTTTCTGTATTTTTGAAATGAATTTGATAGCTAAGTTTCTTTCTTTTTGTATTATTTATGAACTGTGTATTTATTAGCTGTTACTATTGTTAAGCTTTCAAGGAACAATAAATTTCTATGTTAAAAAAACAGAAATAGCTAAAAGTGTTTAGAAACTGTAGAAAGTGTTTCTTAAACTTTAGTGTAGAAAGAATGTAGAAAATTTAATCTCCTCGGCTCAGCTTTGTACAATTAGATCTTCAGGATAAAAAGCACACAGAGTCATTTTTCAGTCTAAAGACTGGCTTCTGGAGACCCGGACCTAGCAGAGAAATTTTAAGAAATTAAAGTTTCAACATTTCATGTTTCAGATTCAAGTCTAAGAATGCTTCCATCATGGTGACTTCCATTTTGGTTAATTAATAATTTTTAACTGTGGAAGTTATTTTTATTCCTGACAAGAAAAAAAATGAAAAATGTATATGTATTTGTGCAAGCTCGTGTGATACAATGGTATATATAGACGACTACCGATCTCTATAGGTACAGAATTCAAATCTCTACACGAGCTCTGTTTCTTTTTTTTCATCTCGATTTAAACTCATTATATTGCTTTTTGTAAGGCACTCCAAATTCAAACGTAAAGTACTACTTTATTTTTGGCTTAAAGACACACCATTCGATAGAGCTCGACGAACTGACCAAGAATATCTACATTTCAGCGTTAAAACATTGTTTTCTTGAATGAAAAATCTTCAAAATACTAGAAGGGTCTCCTAATCTTCGGTTTCAAAAAAATTCAAATTCTTTCATTTTCATCTTTGTTCTTCTAACTTTTCGAAAGTAATTTTTTCGGATTCAGCATTAAAAACTGAGTAGAACGTGTAAATTCACCTGGGTATAACTTTATCTGTAATATTTACACACAAGAAGCTTTAAAACGAACTTGGATGCTATTGTTCGATCTAAAATTATTTATTGCTTAACCACTTCACCCCTTACTGAGTCAATCAGAAAATCTGGTGGCTTTCAGCTAACGCTCAATCTTAGAAAAAGTTTTGATATAGTCATGATGCTATTGTTACCTCGAATAAGAAGTTTTTCCTGATAAAAGCTCTTTAGTTTCTATATTTGAAACAAAATGCGACACTAGTGTACATGCATTAAGATTCCTATAACTATCAAACCTCGTTGCAGGCCTCTTGAACGCATTTTAGTTAACGTGATCCTTGGTCTTTTCTCATGCTAGGTTAAGAGACATTGCAAAGAATTTATAGTGATTAATCGTTTTTGTCGGATAGAAGCGTAGACGAATACTCGCACTAGTATAATCTACAAAGTTTTTGCATGTCTCGTTTAAAATGAGAATAATAAAAACAATTGCACATGTGTCTGTTCTATAAATTATATTCAGAATCTATATCTGTATATAACGATAGTAGCTAATATATCTAGATTTTCTGGTCCTGTATTGTACTATTTTATTATACTTGATTGGATAGGTGCGCGTCGAACTGATTCAGAAAATGTGTGTTATAACATTTAATGTCTGAATGAATGAATGAATGAATGAATTTATTTTGTAGAGAACACATGGAAATTACAAGAAAGCCAGAGCTTTTTGAATGTAACACCAGATAAAATAAACGCTCACACACACACACAGAAAAAAAAATTTAGACAGTAAAAAAATGTTGTTTTAATACAGATGAAAATGCTCTTAGCGTATTCTAATGAACAACTGTGCAAGGCAATTTATTCCAATCCTCTATAGTTTTGGTAGAAAAGAACCGAAAGCAGATTTTAGGATGTAGTTCTGGCGCTGGATCAGTTTATTATGTGAGTTTCTCTCAGTTTGACGGGTGAATGAGCGACTGATAAGACTGCTATGAGAAAGAGCACTACAACCATGGTAAAGTTTATAGAAATAAACTAAACGTGAAAATTTTCTTCGGGAGGATAATGGTGGTAAATTCAACTGATGCAAAAGGATAGTAGAAGTGGATACATAATCTTGTAGTATAATTCTACATGCTAGATTCTGTACTTTGTCTAATACAGATAAGTGAGTAGAATAGCATGAATTATAAATGATAGAACTATACTCCGAAGCCGGGCGAGGACAAGTTTTATACAAGTGAAGACGTAACGAAGGTGGAGCATCCCTAAACACACGAGAAATAAATCCCAACATCTTTGTACAATTAGGCGCAATATGTTCTAAGTGGCGTTTTCAAGTCAGGTCATGAACAAGTCTCATGCCAAGTAACATTATGGTTATTGAGCGTTCAATTTTTATATCGTTAATAGTAAGTGACATGGATTGATAGGTATTAGGTATAGTAAAAAATATTATCCACGCACATTTTTTTATATTGAGATCAACGAAGTTAGTGTCACACCAGCAAGTTACCTCATTAATGGAAGATTGGGCCTCATCCAGATCATAGAGTAGAAATAGATCGTCAGCAAAAAGGGATGTTAATAGCAGAGAAGCTAACGATTGTGGTAAGTCATTCATAAATATGAGGTAAAGTAATGGGCCTAAGATTGACCCTTGAGGAACTAATAGAAAGAGAAGCGACCTCACCTACTACAACTTTTTGTGTCCTTCCTGTAAGATAGGATTTGAACCAGTCGAAAAGAGAGCCAGAATGAGCGTTTCCTCAGTAAAATATGATAGGGCGTGCAATCAAACGCTTTCTCGAAACCGAACCCAATGCCAACAATTTTGCGTCGGTTATTCAAATGCTGATATACATTGTGAGTAATAATTAATTGCGAGTGATTTCAAAGAGACATGAAATTTCAAATTTTTTGTGATCTTTCCAATTTATTGATGGAACCGGCAGAACACAGCTGAAATCCCAAATCAATAAATCCGTCTAAGTAATTAGAAATTAGCTGTAAGTTTTCTAAATTAGCAGTTAACAGTAACTTGCTATGAGTAAAATAACCTACTTTAAGTACTCACGTCCTGCTGTTCCAAAGCCATATAATAAAATGGATAATCAATACTTAAAGAAAAACTGCAATATAAACTGATACTCGCACCAAGGGATAATATAGTATTTTGGATTGCTCATGTGCAAACTTTTCATACCCGAAGTTGAGATGAGTAAAATTTCGTAAGTTTTCTATAAGAATCTTATATTGCAGTTTTATAGAGATCATGAAAAATTCACATTCGCGACGAACTGAATTATTCTTTACTATTTCGGTATGCAACATGTCTTCATACTGGCAATAGACCTATAATGTTTATCTTTTCTCTCACTAGTTCAGGTCACAATCGATTGTGAATTCTCTGTTATTTTCTGACTAGTTTAGGTCACCATTTAGGTTAGACAACGGTCACGACTCACTTTCATGGCATCTTCCCCCTCTTCCGACACCTCCAGGTATATGTTTAGAAAGATATGGATGCATTGAATAAACTCTTCGAAAATAGCTGGCATAGAAAACACATCAGAAATACATAAATAAAAAATTCAGGAACTATCTGACCATTTGAATACATATAAATAAAAATCATAAGAGATCTAAATGATGACCTCAGAAAATAATAGAGAGTTCACAAACGTTTTTAGCTGAAAAATAAAAAGCAGAAACTTTGTAGGCATAAGTTGGGTACGGGTACAAAGTTCATGGATTGGGTCGGGTACGGATGGAAAAAAGGATCGTGGATCGGGTACCGGTACGAAAATGGTACCCGTCCACATCTCTAATCCGTTTTGTAAGCTACAAATTTCTTTCATAGAAAGCAGGGGAAGTTTCTATGATGTCAAACTTGAAAGCAAAACTAATGGATTCACGGAGAATAATTCCATGATTTCCTACTTAGTGTCTCATTGTAATTATGTAACCAAGGGTGAGAAGTAAATGAGACTTATAGAGACAGAAAGATACATTTTAGACAGAATATAATTTCATATTTATTTGTGAGTTGTCTAATTTTTTTTGGCGACAAAAACGAAAAAGTTGTAGAGTAATATATTATTTCCATTTCAGGTAAGAACAGGACGCGTTTTATCTCTTTGAATATTTATGATGTCATATAGATAACAACGATGCTTAAAATCGCAACAAATTCATACTAGAAACAAGCCGAACAAACATTATTACATAACAAGCAAGAAATTCCGAATTCATCATATTATTATTTACTGGATCTAAAAGTCAATTTAATTTGGCATTTTCAGTGGAGTTTCTTTACACACTGTATATCATGTTTACTAATATATGTACCCAGTGAGTAAAAATAAGCTGATTTGGAAGATAGCCGTTATATAAACGAGTGTGTGTTTATAAAAAGTAGTAAATAGTACAACGTTGAAACCGTGAAAAAAAGTTTTCTATGATGGCAAATAATAGTCATTTCATACCCATGGAATGTGCTGTCCAGGTATTTTTATCATGCCTTGAATCTATGTGAAATATAAATTTTTTGTTTATTCACCGTTTTAGGAACCAAGAGATAACGGCACAACAGTGTATGTAGGAACATTAAATTAGTATCTAATTAAACAATTATTTATTTGATTTCTTTTAGAAATCATCATAATATCAAATGTGAACTGAAACAAACTAGTTCAACAAAAAACATTTTGGATGCAACTGAGGTAAAAATAGGTCGAAGATACCCATGCAGATGAAAAAAGTCGTTCGAGGGGTGCGGCGAGTACTCGAAAATCGGCCCTCGCCGAGGGCTCGACCCCTCGGAAAATGGCACTTCGGACCCTCGATATAAGCTTTCGAGGGGTATCGATTTCGAGCCCTCGGATTTCAGATAGGTAGCGAGCCCTCGAGA